AGACTGGCGTCCGAGGCCATACCGGAAGGGGGTGTAAGTGGTAACGTGATTTTGTGTCACAGTCGCGTTGAGGGGCGGGCTGGCGCGTGAAAGCGAGGGTAGGGCGCGCTCCCCCTCTCGCCCCAAGTCGACCCCTCTCTTCCAAGGCTCAACGATCAGCGAGGCATATTGCCGCGACATTAGGCATCATTTGATGACTATTAGCATTGGCTTATCTGGCGGCGAATTGCATCGTTGCGCGGAACCGGATCAGTGCCTTGTTCCATGCTTGTTAGGTGAGGCCGACGCGACTTTTGCCTCCCAGGGGGAACGGAGGACCGCATGTGGATTAGGCATAGGACGAGCAGCCACGCCTCCTTGCTGGGTATGTATGCGTAGGTGGGAGCGATGAACTGACGGTGGCTACTGCGCGGCATCGGCTGCGTTTGCTTTTCGCAAAGTTTCCTGGGTAGCCTGGCCATAGCGCGAGCTGTGCCATGAAAGGGTGCTGGCTTCGGCGAGGGACGCGACAAGGGACTCGCCGACTCGAACGCTCCGTGTGGATGCCCATTGGCGACTGCAGGAAGAAAAGGATGGAAAAGAATGAAGGGATATGTCGCAAGTGGGTGTAGGAGTAAGCATCCTCGAGCTCTAAGCGATGTCTCTCTTACAGCTCGAGTTGCTCATTGCAGCAGAAGCATGGGCAGCGCCAGCCTAGCGCAATCAGCTCTTTGTCCCGCCTTTGTTTCACAACCTTGGCCAAGTCCTAACTGGCCCCGGTCCAAGGCTTTGCCGTCTGCTGAGGGCTGACTCTTAACACCCTGAAAAGGAAAGGCGCTGCATGTGATACCGCGAGACCGACGCGTTAGTCATACTAGTTGACGCGTCCAATCCGCGTCGCACCTCAACCTCACCCCGGCAGAGGGCCCGATAGTGGCCTGCTGTGAGCAGTCAAGTATATATACATGGCTGCAGTCGCTCGCTACTTGGCCTGCATCGCCTGTTGTGCCCAGCTAATCGTCTGCCTGAGGAACTGCATCTTCCATTGGCCTGCCATTCCAGATTCCTACATCTGCTGCCTACTAACTGTACCTATAAGTATCTACGACACCTACTCATCAAAAGCCTCGTCTTCAGTACCATCTGTAAAACATGTTCTCATCATCATCAAACCGCACACGATACCAGGAAGGTAGCTTCTCGAAACATCGAGCAAGCAAGTCAAAGTCGTCCAAGAAGAACCCTTCCTTCAAGGACTCACCCAGAAGAGTAGAGAAATTAGCACAGCAAGCACAGGCATCCTCAGCGCAACCCAGTCCGACATCTCCATCTCTCGGGAGGTGAGTTTACCCTTTCAATATCCTTTCTGCGACAGCCTTACTAACAACACTTCCCCAGTGCAATCGTCACCATATCCGTCGGCCGCGAACAACGCCTCTTCGCCGCCCACGAAGACGTCCTCTCCCACTCCCCTTGGTTCCAATCCCTCTGCTCCGGCCAATTCTTCCAAACCACAACAAACAAGCGCATCGACCTCCCCGACGAAGAACCCGAAGTCTTCTCTTCCATCCTCGAGTATCTCTACAAAGGCGACTACTACCCGCGCGCCGAGTACGACAAGAAGCGCAACAGCTGGAACCTCGAAGACGGCGGCGCCGGCGCCAACAACGCAAATGAAGCCGTCATCCAGTCCTCCGTCGGCCCCATCTTGAAAGACACCATTATTTATTGCCAGGCGGACAAGTACGGGCTTCAGGAACTGAAGAAGCTAGCGCTGAAGAAGCAAGGGTTGCAGTCTGGGATCCAGTGCTCGACCATCCTCACGTCGGCACGGTACGCGTATGCGAATACGCCTGATAACGATTCCAAGCTGCGTGCGCATTACCTCGCCCTCATTATCCGTGCGCGCCACACGTTCAAGCGCAGTGGCACCATGCAGAATGAGATGGAGAATGGTGGCAAGCTCTTCTTCGATCTCTTCGTCGCCATGGTCAATCATATGGATGATTTGTCTGGCAAACCGGCGTACTAGCGCTGTCACAAACTGCCCTTTGCGCAGTCGATCGTTTTTGGTCGGCTTCGCATGGCTGCCCATGGTGCAACGACTCACTGACCCTTTTTTTCATCTCCCTTCTTTCTTACTCTTCTTGTACATATTACCTTTCCTCCCCCGATCATCCCTCAGCTACGTATTCCCCCAGTATCGGTCCTTCTCTATCATTATTTCCTACTCTTCTTTGTTTATGCAAGGCGTTTCTTGGATTTTCTTCCTTCCTTACTTCCTTCCATCTTTCATCTCGTTTCGCTATTTCATTGGTATTCCCACTGTTGTACTATTATATTCCCGCGTTCTTTCTTCTTACTTACTCACTTTTTGGCGTTTGTGCGCTTCTGCGGCTGCTAGAATGGGGATCAAAGCGCAGACAAACTAAAGAAATTGCGGAAGAGTGCTTGATGCACCGAGGCATATGTGTTAAGCTTTTTTTTTCGAAAGATTGTTTTCTTCGTTACGATCAGGTAATATCTTTTTATTGACACTTGTTTTTCCTTCTTTCTATTGAGCTGTACTGCTTTCATGTGAGGGACCTGTTACCAGATTGTATCACGCTGGCCTGGTCTCTTTAGAGTTAGAGATATTCGCCATGTTTATTCCAATGATGGTTATTTGGTATCATGAGAAATTGATGCGGTTTGCCGATTACAATCGCAATTGCTACTACATCTGACCGTCTTTGTACGATATGTGAAGTGTTTCATGCCTGTCAAGGTCTCGTTGTTCTAATTGCTTTATTGGTGAAAAGTCACCGTAACAAGTACGCGTTTGTAGCAGAACGGTTGCAAAGATGAGACTGGACGCAGACTGTACACAGCCGACGTAGACAAGGAAAAGAAAAGGTGGAGCGGGACAACAAAGGGGACGAGAAGTGGCTCGGAAAAACGTAATCTCAGCTCATGAGCGCCGAGTAGGGATGTTTGCTTGAGGGATGGAATGAGGACAGAGTGGAGATGCTACTATTCGCTCACTATATATGGCCCGTGCGTCTCACAGTTCATAGTTATGCAAGGGATAGTAATGATTAAGAGCGATGTAGCTAGTACCATGACCTGGGTATGTTGTTTGAATTTCTCTATTCTCAGTCTTGCCAAAGTTCTATGAATGTACCATTCATCTGTGCAACGAACCCAAGACGCAATGCCCTTGTGCACATGCACAGTGTTCATGATATGCCAGAGTCATATTCCCGCAAAAGCCAAGAATCATGTTGAGGTGGTGTGGTGACTGTACTTACACAAGGCAGCAGACTATAGAGTCTAGGCATCAGACCCCTGTCCCAGGGAATGCTCCCTTCTTGTTCATGACTACTATTCCATGGTCGCGCGAGATATAGCCCTTCATCAGACCCTAAGAAACCTGTCAGCCCAACTTTTGATCGGTACACCTGCTGCGTTGGTTCATACCTTGTAGATTTGGTTCGCCAATAAGCACTCCACCTCGTCGTCCTCCACGACTTGGCCGCTGCCTTCGCCTGCAGTCCCCATTCGGAGTGCGGCTGCGAAATGCGCTAGTGGTATGCGCGACTTGCGTATCCTATCCTTCTCCGTTTGTCCTTCCTTGAGATCGTCAAAGCCGGCGGCAAGATATACTTTTCGGAGAAGATTGCGCAAGGCGATATCGCGACTTCGTTCTAGGGTAAGAAATATGCGCTGCTTGACAAACTCAGGCTCGCCCTCCGCAAGAGCCCTGTCGAAGCCCGTAAGATCTCCGCGTTTTATACACGATACGAGAGGCCCGAAGGTGCGCTGTAGATGTGGGGCTTCTGCGAGAAGGCTCGTCGTCGGAATCTTGTGCTGGGTGATGAGACGACAAGGAATCAAGTACGTGAGGATCAGGCTAAAGCAGTCAGATTTTGGCATGCATCCTCTTATTGATTATCACACTTACGATTTGTTGTGTTGCGACCGTGAATGGCAGGACTCCCATGCTTGCTGCAAGCTACTCTCTGCCTACCAGATGTTAGAGGGACCCCCATTGTATTGGCTTTTGGGCATACCTTGGCATAGTCCTCCTGCAGGAATGAGAGCACTCCAACATAGTACTTGTATGTCACCCTATGGGCGCGTGGGTATAACTCGAATGTAGGTAGGTCGGACTGCGCTTCGATCGATCGCACTACGTTCTTGGAGAGACTGATGGCTTTCAACTATGATTTTTTTTTCAATCAGCGGTTACTAGGAACCAGTCATCGAAGAATTCTTACCTTGAAGTATGTCTTGAACTGGAGATTGGCTATGCAGTACACACCCCATTTACGGGACTCGGACATGTCTGGGTTTCTGGCGGATTGTAAGACAACTACTCAAACACAGCAATAGAGATATGGCACACCTGTCACCAAGGCATAGCGCAAAGATCCTGTTGAATACTCGAGCAGCCTCTTCAAGCTTTGGGTTCTGAGGGGCAGTGCTCACGATGTCGTCTGAAAACTCCGTGCTGGAAGTTGCTGATCTCGACTTGGCCAACTGTTCGTCTGCTCTGATAGCTATCTTCCTAAGATGATTCGCAGTGAAATACAGCGTAAAGATGGCCCACGCTGGCAGTAGCCCAGCCGATATGTGCTTGATAAAGTAGCTGGTCAACTCTTTCCAAGCATCATACACTGCCACGAATTGGCGCTCGTTGAGCTTGTCCTGATTTGCAGCCTCGTCCGCCCTTATAATCTCCCTCACAGCGCGCCAATAAGCAGCAATGATATCAACCCAAGCACCGCTCTCTTTGTTGGTCATGCGCGCGCTCTTGTTGTGTTTGAGCGCATAGCGAACATCGCCCTCGATCTTATCTCCGTTGGATGCGCGGTAGAATTCATACAGCCGCCCAGGATCATGCGCAGGCGCAACTGGGCTGAGAAAGTCTGCGACGGGTTGCGCCAACCCTGTGGCATATGCCTCATGGAAAGGTTCGAGTGCGGCTTGCATGGTTGGGGCTGGAACTGAGGCTACAGCTGGGACTACTGCAGGTAGAGATGGTATTTCGGAGAGTCTCAGCAGTATTGGCGGCCTCCGGTGGTGTTCTCAACCGTTAGACATGTCGTGTTGTGCCCGTGCCAGAAGCTGAGCTGTTTGATGTTCTGACGATTGTGGATGCTAGTAGTGTCGGTGTTTGGGCGGTGGGTTCGCCGATGCAGCTCGCACCTGGCCGCCAAGTCGTGGTGGCTCCTCTTCTCGGCTAGCGCCCACAAGCGACCTCGAATTCGACAGGCCGGCCACAATTCGCGATAGACGACCTGAACTTCTCAACCCAAGGTACTAACCACAGCACAATTACGGTCAGTCCATATTGCCTTCTCTCACGCATTCTGCTTGCTAATACATCACAGATGGGTAAGCACTCTCTTTCGATTTCCTGCGCATCACCGTCTCGCCCAGCAATTGCAGCCGATGGAGTTTTCGCACAAACCCGCGACACGCACCGAAAAGCCTGTGACAGCACATCGAACATGACGAACGAATAGAAGGATGTGAAGAGAGTTTGCATAGGCTTCCTCGTGTTTGCTTGGTGGGTTGAGGGCGTCAAGCAACCGTGATGATGGCCTTGGATGAAAATTGAGAACCTGCACGCGCCTATTTGGATTCCCCCGACCGCATCCCAATCGCCTTAGCACGATCGGCCTACACTGCGTATGACTGCTGCAATTGCTGGAACAGAGACTACGAAACTTTTTCTTTTGGAGCAGTACTGACGATGCATCAGCTCGCTTCCAGGAATACCAGATCATCGGGCGCCATCTGCCTTCCGAGGCCAACCCTGCGCCAAAGATCTACCGTATGCGCATTTTTGCGCCCAACGAGGTCGTCGCCAAGTCACGGTTCTGGTACTTCCTTGGCAAGCTCCGCAAGATCAAGAAGGCCAACGGTGAGATCGTCTCCGTAAACCAGGTACGCCGCAGTCACAAACAAACACACAGCCCGGAGCACTGAGGCTAACCCGCGTCCAGATCCACGAGAAGAAGCCCCAGAAGGTCAAGAACTTCGGTATCTGGATCAAGTACGACTCGCGCTCCGGCACCCACAACATGTACAAGGAGTACCGTGAGATGTCCCGTGTCGCCGCCGTCGAGGCTCTCTACCAGGACATGGCTGCCCGTCACCGAACGCGCTTCAGGTCCGTTCAGGTATGATTATCCTTGATCCGTAATCTGCAACGTCAAGCTCACACTTCGCTTAGATCCTCAAGGTTGTTGAGGTTGAGAAGGCCGATGACCTCCGCCGACCATACATCAAGCAGCTCCTCACCAAGAACCTCAAGTTCCCGCTGCCCCACCGCATCAACAAGAAGGCGGGCAAGAAGGTCTTCGCTGCCCACCGCCCATCCACTTTCTTCTAAGCGTGTTTCTTATTACGGAGTGCGGTCTGGATGGGAAGGATTGTTATGGGTTTCCCTCGGTTATGCATGCTTCACGAAAAGAAGTACACTAGGAACGAATGAAAATCCCTGATACCTCCGTTCGAGTCATCGAGACGCGTGATGCTACACAGGGTGCTGGCCAGGGTTCCGCAAATAGGGCAAGTCTCAGACTACCAGATGAGGGTATGGTACGAGCTGGACGATAGACAATGAACTCATGAAATTGCGAGTCAACATGTGGTATTGCATGTGCCTTTGCTTTATCCTCTGACATGCAATTAGATCTTTGGTCCTCCCGTCGGCGCCACTTTTGGCCTCCCTAATGTATCCACAGGTACCCACCACGGGTACCCTGTCACCTTCACCTTATTTATTGTTCCCTTGAAATTTGCCGGTCGCTTTTCCATGAAAGACTTGACACCTTCATTGTTGTCCCTGCATTCACAATTAGCTCGCCGATATCAAATTCTTTATGTTGCATAAACTTACGGCGACCCAAACAACTCAAAGATGATCCTACTGTCCAATAGATGCTGGCCCTCGGGACTTCCTCGATCCCTATACATCAACTCCTTCATTAGATACGTACTAACACTGCTCGTGTTCGCAGCCACGTCCTCAGCCAGCTCGAGCGCCCTCGGCAGCACCTGCTCAGGCTTCTCGCACACTTCTGCAAAAAGACCGTCCCAGATCTTGTGTGTAGCTGGATACGTGCTGCCTGTGGTAACAGCCTGCATGGCACGTGAGTGCCCAATCAACCTAGGCAGATAGAACGAAGAAGCGGCTTCCATGACGAGTCCGCGACGCGCAAAAACAAACCCTATCTTCGCTGTCGCCGCTACAATGCGGATGTTCATAGGCAGCGTCATGGTGATGCCTACGCCAACTGCGGAACCCTGGATCGCAGCTATGCTTGGCTTCCGGCAGTGATGTATAGCAAGCGCAACGCGTCCGCCTCTGTTCTCGTAGCATTAGCAAAACCCAGCATCCCCAATAGTCAATTCAAGATGAATAGTGTGAGAAGGAATGAACATACCCATCCCTATGCTCCGCCACCTCTTCCGCTCCCTCCGCAGCCGCCCCTTCCCCAAACCCATCATCCAGATCTGCGCCCGCACAAAAGATTCGTCCATGGCCTGTTACAACGATGCATCTTACGCGCTCGTCTGTGTCGAACATGGCGTATGCGGATTCCAGCTCCGCTTGCATTGTGTCGGTGAATGCATTGTGGTTTTGCGGGCGGTAGAGCGTGAGGATGATGATGGAGGCGTCTTTGGTATGGTGCTGAGTGCGGATTTGGGTAAAAGGAAGGTCGCTGTATGAGGCAGGGAGTTGGATGTCAGGTTTATGGCGGGGAGGTTGTTTGGATAGTCTCGGCATGTTGGGTGATGCAATGTTGGTATATGTATTGGGAGTGGTGGTGGAAACAATGGAGCAGCGCGTATGGAATTAGATGACACTTTTTTTTTCGTTTCTTTAAGGACAAGAGCTTGTAAGATTTATGGGATTGATGTTTTTTATTTTCAATTTTCTTTGCACTTGGTTTGCGATATTTATGTTCTTGTGTTGCTGCGTCGAATTAATCTATAATTAGTTGGAGGATGCGGGAGCGATGCGGGGAGGGCGCAGGGCCGAGGTTCGAGTGGAGCTTCGACGTCGACGCGTGTGCAGTAAGCTTGTAGCTTGAGTCAAGTTTGGTACACTAAGGTTCACTTCATGTCTGGGAACCGCATTAGGTTTATCTTTGTTGATTTTTGTATTTTGGCGTCTGGCAAAGCGAGATGAAGAAGTTCTCTCTGTTTCTTCACGAGGTCTGAACCAGTATGTTGAGCATCATCACGTGACATGCCTTTTGGCAGAGGGATATACACAGTGGAAAATAATGGGTTTGTATCTGCTTAGCGAGAGTCTGGTAATGAAATGATTGTAAAGACTATATAAAAAGCTAGGTTAGTAATGAAGACAATCGACTTCATGGTCGTAGGCGATATCATGTGGTACAATCAATGCCTCCTCAGCCTTGTGAGTTGCGCCTTCCTCCGTTTAAAGCTCACCGGTCTGCAATGCTTCCACCAATCTCCAATTGCGCCTTTGCCAACATACGTTCGGGACTTATTGCTGCCTAGCTGATCCCAAGTCGTGGCATATATTCATTCGCTACATGCGCACGGCATTCGAGGAACAACATCTTGTTTTCAGCCCATGCCTTCAACTTGTTCGACCGAAAAGTGTACATAGTACAAGACCGGTCTTCTACATTCAGGGTCAATCCCCAAAAACCTGTACGCCGAGAGAAACACCATGGAAGCCTCGGCCTCTAATCCATCATTACTTGGTCAACATTTGTATGAGTAATCGCTCTAATTTGTTTCTGTTTTCACACGAACACTCCTCACAGGCCGCATGCATCCCCTCTCCACAAATAACTAAGCAATTTTCACATGGAACACTTCTATAATACTGAATTTCGACTGACAGTCTCTGCAAGGGCGCATTTCCAATACTCTGATAGTATAAATGATCAACACATACGTTTGCTTGACCTTGAATTCGGTCATGACGACGAAACTATCTCTCTTGGTATCGAAACGTATAAGGTCAATGACTATCCGCCATACATCGCACTCTCTTACACATGGGGAGATACAAACGACACAATAAATTTATTGTGTAACGGAAAAACCATCGCTGTGACCCGAAACCTTCACGAGGCTCTATGGCAATTTCGAGAAAATCGTAAAAGATTAGCCAGACTCGAGCCCTATACAAGGTCCCATAATCAGCCCCTTCACTTCTGGATTGATGCTATCTGTATTAACCAGGGAAACAATAAAGAAAAGAGCTTTCAAGTGGGTTTGATGAGAGAAATTTATGAAGGGGCTGATCATGTCTTTGTATGGTTAGGACCAGCAGACAAGAGCAGTGACGTAGCCATTCGCTGCATCAACACCATCGGATCAAAGGCAGAAGATTGTGGTTTCGAGGATGGAGCCGGACTAGTTACGAAAATATGGCATGAGATCGAATTTGTTTCTGGGGGATATCAGCGAGTGGTATCGGCCAACCCATGGTATGGTAAAGCCATGAAAAGCCTGTTCGATTCCATTAGCGGTAGGAGCAGTCAGAGTAATGTGCTACCAATTACCGACTTGGACAATTTCTTCACCAGACCGTGGTGGACAAGGATATGGGTCTTACAAGAGGTAGCTGTTTCCAGGGATACACATTTCATTTGCGGAGCCCAAAGACTGTCAAAGAGCCGTTGCAACGCTTTCATACACATGTATGCGGCACTATGGAAAGCCAATGCTGCTGCCTTCCGGAGAGAACGAGCAAACTTCACAAAATATCGCCTCGATATTATGAGACATTTAGTTCACCAAGGTCCTAACCTCATGCTAAACATACCAAATATATACCGGCGTAACGCATTCCAGCTGGTAGCCCTTCTTCGCGCGACGTGTATCGGGAGCGAAAATCTTAAATGGCATGGACCTCATCACCTCGAAGCAAAAAGACCAGAAGACAAGATCTTCGCCTTGCTAGGCCTGGCTGCAGATCGAGAGGAATTGAAAAGTTTTGGTGTCGTCCCAAACTATGATATTCCATACGAACAAACCTACACTACTACGATGGTAGCGCTATTACAGCAAGGTCATATATCCCTTCTCTCAATGTGTCAAGCATCAAGGTCGCCAAACCTCCCATCTTGGGTCCCGGATTGGTCTCGATCGGTAACTGACATGTTGCAAACTGTACGCAGCGACCATATGACTCTATACCCAGAGTTCAGCTCCTCAGGCAGTCATACAAATAGAAACTCGATCAAGGTACTAAAAAAAGACTCCAAGATCGGTAAGCAAATATCAGTCAAGGCTATTCTTTTCGATGAGATTTTTCAAGTCGGTCGTTTCCCTGGAAGAATTGACAGCAAAGATGTACCACTTTCGGAGGCGTACACATGGCCTTCAGAGTGGCTTGTCGAGATTTTGCGCCTCAGCTATTGCACAGGGAAATATTACAAGCGATTTCACGACCGATTATCCGCAAGTGCACGAACTGCAACCGGTGACGTCGCAAAAAATAGTGCAGGGGAGTCCATCCGGTCCGGGAATACCCACTTCGATAATGCTGTTGTCCTGCTGCGAGACGGAGTCCGGTTTATTGGAAATGGGCGCTTCAGAGTTGAGACGCAATGCTTCTTAGCTACTCAGACAATAAACACAAAACCTAAAGATAGGGTAACAAACGAGCTTCCATTGGCATTCCGGATTGTGGGAGCGAGCTTGGGACGGCTTCCTTTTGTGACGAAAAAGGGCCATATTGGGCTGAGTTCAGATGACGTAAGGCAGGGTGATGCGATTGCGATCATTGAAGGAAGCCAAGTTCCTTTTGTGCTTCGGCCGCTGGATAAAGGGCGGTTTAGCTTGGTAAGCGAAGCTTACGTGGATGGCATAATGGATGGTGAGGCTGCGGAAACTTCGAAGTTCAGTTATATCACTTTGAGATAGATCTTTCAATCGACATATAGGCAGAACTAATACTATGACACTGGTTTTTGCTAATTCAGAGGGTCTCGATGAAACATTCCACGTGAACTTGAACAAGTCAACATGACTTTGATGTCCTCTTTTGCAAGCAGAGCTAGCCACCCCTCTATCTAAGCACGTGAATGAGTGTATGCAGAAGTAAATTACCCACACTTCTTATCAAACAAAAGAATAGTCACTATCTAGCTGATATTATAGAAAACGCGAAATCCTTTTGCCCTGCATGTTTTCATAAGAGAATTACCGTGAATAAGGATGCATATGATCAAAAAAGCCACTCATCTAACCCCCCCATCACTCATAGTACTTATCCTTATCAGCAGCCTCCCCCTCCACCAGTCCAATTCTCCCCAAACGATGCCTCGGCTGCACATCACCCACAAACCCTGGAATCTCATGCAATGCACTACACTCCTCAATCTCCGCCAGTGACGAATGCTTCATAAATTTCGCCTTGTACCCATCCTTCAACTCGACACCGAGTCTAAAAACAGTGTGCCCATCCAACATCGCACTCCAGCGCCTGCGAAAACCGTATACAAGACACAAAGCCGAGCTGGTGACGGCCCAGAAGCCGAATAGCGCAATGGGGATAATGGCAGGCATGACGTTTCCCGTTATGACGGTGCCGGCAGTGAAGGCAGTCATGTTGGGGTTCGTTTTGACAAGGCGACTCCCATCGGGGGCGATGAAATCGCGACCATCGTTGTACATGAGGGTAATGGCGTATGACGAAAACGCCTTAAGCAAACTCTGCCTCAGCTGTGACGCCTGCAGGTAAGCTAGTTGGACGTTTTCTCTGAAACCGAGTTCGATGAAGCCGGGGTTATTCGTTTGGACGCTATCGATGGGGAGCGGTGCGCCGACGGAATCAAAGAACCATCGTAGCCATCCGTTTTCCTGGAGTTTGAGTGTGCAGGCGAGGGTTTCGGCGCCGAGGCTTCGGGCGCACTCGCCGCGGCGGGTGGGGATGGGGGTGTCAGTTCGGCTGAAGTTTGAGAAGGTGGAGTGGACGCCGTTGATATCTGCGGTGCCGACGCTACTTTTTGAAGTGCAGGACACGCCGATTGCGGATAGAGGACCGACTTGTGCTGCGGTGTATTCGCCGTGGAGGTCTGCGATACTGTGGTCGATGGTGAAGTTGTATAGACTGCCGTTGGGGGATGCTTGGGATTGAGGACTGAGTCCTTGCCATAAGAGTACTTCGAAGATTCGCTTTTGATCCATTTTCGAGTTGTCTTGTGCTGCGATGCTGTCCGTGTTATAGTAGCAGTACCCAGTAGGTGAATTCTCATTCAGCACGTCCTCGTAGGTACAAGGGTTTTCTCTAGGTAACGTGTTAGGCATCAGTAATGTCTCGTATGCGGTCTCTATGACAGCATCGATATTCAAAGACCATTTTTCAGGTTTGAAGTCCCACAACCCATTATTTTTGCCTTGGGGCTCCTTGCGAACCTCCACCAGTGTTGTATTATCGTGAAGCCGGTACAGCTGAGTTCTCACTCTGTGTTCATCGTCAACAATAACACCCGGGTTACTAGTAGCCTCCGGAATTGTATCGCTACTAGCGCTCACAGCAACTGTGGGGCCCAGAGGGAACGATGTTGGTGTCTCTGTAGGGGTTGTGTGTATCTCTTCCTCAGCCGATTCGTCCCCGATTGTACCAAAATCAGGCATAACGTCCTTGGATCCCCAGACATCCATCGAAGATCGACGTTGGTTGAGTAGACGCATGTCGGATAACTTATCCACGATGCTGCATTCATAGTGAAGTAACAGGCCCCAGGCCTTGCCATCAATCGGCGTCTTGCCTTGAGCAGTCAAGAAAATCTCCTCGACTCCCTCATCCATGGGTAAGACCACTGGAACTTGTTGGAGAAAGTTCTTCTTAGATCGGTCGAAGCCCTGGGGTGTGTATACTGCGCCAAATCCAGGGACGCGTGCATCGGGCTGAGGCTCTTTCGAAGGGCTACGACCTCCTGGACTGCCATTGAAGTCGGAGTACACGAATCCAGAAACACTGGGTGCGCTTCCTGGTGAGCCTCGTACGAAACCACTCGTCATTTCCAAACAAAGACCGGACAGTGGCCACGCTACAAAGACAACCATACTAGGAAGTGCGAGAATGAACCACAAGCGCCCTGGATGTCGAGTCTGCTTGTGACCAGTTCCACGCATGCGCACGACCCATTTGATTGCCTTTCCCCAGCCACCTGGACCAGACCAAGTATTATCCGCGTGGAGCATGAGAACCATGGCATTATTGACTCGCCAAAATGGATCCATTAGCATGCCAGCTTCTGCCCCCGCCAGCCCATAAAGACTCAAGTTGAGTCCAATGATTCCAGCGACAAACCAACTGTAGAAGATCCATTTCGCTCCTGCTGGTCCAAAAGATACCGGCGAGTCAGGGTCGATGGGAACAAGATACTTTTGCCATATCACAACGAGGTAGCACAGAATCATGGGTGGTCCGAGTACCCCGGCTATTGTGCGGAAATAGAATCGGCGCATACGGCGTGCATCCGAAGCAGGATCCGTTTCTCCATGATAATGGTCTGGGTTGAAATCGTGTTCGGAAACGAGACTGACAGCAGCGCTCTCCGAGTAGAGCCCCGGCGGCCTGAAGTTCTGTTAGTCGCAGGACCCGTGTGAAATCTAGAGAAGCTTTACCGATCAGAAGACCCGTATTCTTCGAATTCCAACGCATTATCACCGGAGGCACCAAGCGCGTTGTAACGTCGGGGACTCATAATTTCGTAAAAGGCCTGATGGGAAAGCACACACCATAGCGAGGGAATTGGGCCGATTGTATATCGTTTATATTGTGATAAGTCTCCTCAGCCTTGAGGCTTCAGCCTTGTGTAGTGTATAGATCGAGAGGTGAAGAGGAATGGGGGGCCAACAGATGTGATTGGACATTAGTCCTGCACTTGCCACTCGAAATTCCGCCATTCTGGTGAGATCTGTAGTAGATCTGTCAGCGCTATACAATTTTCACCTTCCTTTTTTACTCACTTTTCCAAATCTAATGATACACTGCGTTCCTAACACTAGTTGTGTACCCTTCCAACCAATCATCTACGTTGTGTAGATACACCAACACCAGGAGGCTTAGTAGCAAATTTAAAGAGCCTAATGACGTACTTGACAAGCGATAAAACGTTTGGGGCCAGCCGCCATGTAGGATCTAGGCGCCCCGCCTCCTCTCACCCTTCAAAAGCCCAACAGACAGGGCTTTTGTGATTCAAACCTGCGTAGATAGTTGACGAGAAAGTACACTAAATACTGTCTTCACAACTACCATCACGCTCTTTGAGGGGCCTCTAGTTGACTTCCAAACTTCAACCCCCCTATCAACCCCCGCAATAAATACGTTGAGCTACCACCATTTTACCATGATGCTTGGGCACAACAAGCAGCACGAATGACCCCCAAACAACTCAAAGCAAGGTACAAAAAGTTGACAGGTAGTGATGGTGAGCCCACCCAACTGCCCCGAAAAAAACACTTCTTATAACAAAGCAACAACCTCTGCAGTATTATACCTTCCCCCCCTCCTCCTCTCTACAATCCAATTCAATTGGCTATTAAAATATTTACTTTCCAGCCACTACTACTTAAAAAAAAGACGCCAAAAAGAACTGAGTTCTCTACGCAAAGCAACATGAGCAAAATCTCCATGATAATCTCAAACCCCAATACCCCCCGACCCCCCAAAAAACATGACTTCTAAGATCCAGCACGCATACACCGTTATCAAAAAAAGAAAAAAAAGAAACGTTTCCCCCGCACGATGCAAGTGCTTATAATCTTCGCATAGAAAGCCTCCAGTCATGTCCCAAACTAACCTCATTCAGCCACATCTCTCGTGCCCTCGAATCCTAACCTCGATACACCTTTGGTGAACGGGGACAATACAAAACGGTTTCTGCGAGTTCAATCTGGAGATTTTCTCCTAAACTTGGGCTGATGTGTTACGTACAAAATGCAGTTACACTTGCGTTTTATCTGCCATGAAAGCATAGCAGATCATAGTTGTAGGTATGGAGATTGTGAGAAATAACAATTTCTCGTGCAATAAAGGAACAAGGACATATATCTTAAATTATGCTGCTGTATTGTAAGTTCAGCCTCAAGTATCATGACATGGACTTAGTTATGGGTAAGAGCCCCTTGGCTGTAAACAAACTTCCTTTCTTCCTCTTCGAACCTAAGTTCTGGAGACTTTTTAGACATACGAAAATTTACTTCCAGTACCCGTAGATCTTTGGAAGCGAAATCGTTGAACACTCATCACACCTTCTCCGGGTCGTTGATTCCTCCATTGGTAATGATGTAGGTAGCTTCCTTCTCAGGCATGTCTAGACAGGAATGTTAGTGACAGCGTTCAAATATGCTGCAATCGGCATACCAGGAGAGTCTTGAATCTTTGCGACGCGCTCCTCGCCTCGCCCCTTCCGAAGCAAAATCCTCGTAGCAGAAGCGTGGGCGAGAATGTGACCACCAACCGGCTTACGACCGTCGGCGCTGGCAAACAAAGCACTTGCTCCAGGATCGCTTTGGACTTGATTGGTCATCAGCACTGCGACATTAAACTCTGCAGATTGTCAGTTTAAGAATGAGCAACAGGAGAACTAGGACAAACCCTCGGCAACATGCGTGAGCTTCGAAAGGAACTGGTTGAGTTTCTGCTGTCGCTCATTGAGCTCACCACGTCCAGTGTAGTCGACGCGGAAGAGCGCCATGATACTGTCGATGATCAGCAGTCGGTACTCGTTGCTGACAAAGAACTCTGCAACTTTGTTCAAGAGCTCCATCTGATGCTCAGAGTTAACAGCGCGGGCATATGTGATGTTGTCTTGCGCTGTGAAGTGTCAATAGGGATATCGACAAGGCTATGGGGTTTCAAACCAGTCTCGGGATCTACACCAAAACGTTCTGCGATTTGAGCTATCCTCTCCGGTCGAAAGGTGCCTTCAGTATCTGGGCCACGGTCAGAAGAGCTAACGATTACAAGAAAGCGACGCACCGATATAGGCTACCTTGCCCTCAGCACCGCCCATGTCTTTTGGCAGCTGTGCAATGACAGACATGGTGTGTGAGAGTTGCGTCTTTCCGCAGCGAAATTCGCCAAACACCTCACTGATACTCATAGTCTGAAATCCACTGCATCATGTTAGCGATCGTATCAGCGGAGATGAGCAGATGCACCCACCCTCCGAGGATAGCATCAAGCGCTTTACTACCAGTAGAAATCTTGATGACGCGCTTTCGCTGTTGTCCAAGCTCATGAGCAGTCTGGAAACCTCCACCTCCAGGCTGCATATGCTTTTAGTAAAGCAAGCTCACTCACTACCACTTCAGTACAACTGACCTGGCACTTGGCAATAGCATCCTTGACTTTATCGACCTTGATCTCACTGAAGCCTTTGATCTTGAGCAGGTTGCGACGGGTAGCTGAGTGCACTGAAGCGATCGTGTAGTAGCCGTTTGATTTTAGCTTGGAGATGTCGACAGCGCCGATGCCGTGGGCCTGGATTGCATCAATGTCTACGATGAAGCTGTCATCGTTGTGCTCGTCATCACTAGCGACTGACTCCGCCGCCATGCTAGCAGTCCGAGGAGTGATGTAATACTGAATGAAAAGAACTGCAACGCAAGCAAGTATACAGATGTTGGGTTTAGAGAGAAAGAAGGAAATATGAAAGGTGATGGTAGAGAGGGAGAGAGAGGGAAGTGAAAATTTTGTGAGGACCAGTACAGAAATACTCGTACATGTTAGGAAGGAGCGAGCATGATAGGAAGGAACGAGCCACCAGCTCAACGTTGTATGTGGCGAAAGTGAGAGAGGGAAAGTGCGATGGGGGAGGTGCGGAGGGATGGCAATTGTAGTATCGATGATTGTAAGGAAAAGAAAAGGGTGTACTATTAGCATATGATATGCAAGCCCTTTGGTTGGTGAGGTGCTATTTCGTAGTGTACGTAATCGGACTCCGTGTTTTTGCTTGTAGGAATACAGTGAACAAACATACGAACATTTCAAGCGTTTCGAGAATTCATGTTATTACTAATGTTAGCCATGTCACTGGCAAATACAACATGTATGCACGATAGACATATGAATAAATCTACCATGACGGAATAGTCGAGAAAAGGGATGCAAGATGGAAAATCACGGGGCACACGTGCTAACCCCAGCTCCTGACAAAAAACCACACAGTCTCCTTCACTCTTCCCTCCTCCATAACCACCTCGATCCCTTTGCATCAAACTGTCTGCACCCAAACCACCACAGCCGCCTTCAAGCTCCATAGGAAGCCACTACCATACTATCCAAGCGCATGCGCACACTACATTAGCCGATGCAAGCACATCCATAGAGGGTAGAGAGCAACCATCCAAATCGCCAAGCCGTCGTCTGTTTCGAAATCATGGTAGAATGGTTGAAGGGATAACGTTTGTGGGTATCAGTGTAAGAATTGTGAAGAACTTTTTTTTAAACCGTTGATGACTCGTGAATGCGTGAGATTTGCCGAAAAGATGCTGAGATAGGCTAGGAAACGATTGTGAAGAAATGTCGAACTAAATGAAAGATATGGAACTGCATGCTGTAAATGCTGATTGTTTCGCTACAATTTTACTCGTGGCGAAGCTTGAGCTGGCGGAGCTCGTGAGCCGTCTAAGCGACAGCAGTCGTGGGAGCAACGGCCGCAGGGACAGGGGCAGCTGCAGGAGCAGGAGCAGAGTCGCCGTTGACCTCAGCCTGGGTGCAGTCCCGAGAGATGTGGCCGGTTTCGCCGCAGCGGTAGCAGGTCTTGCCGGCAGTGTTGAGTGGGCCGCCATTGGGAGCGGTGCAGTCACGGGAAATGTGTCCTATGGAAAGTCAATGGCGCTACACCGTATTCAAACGACTATACTGACCGAGCTTGCCACAGGCATAGCACTTCATGGCCTGAGCCTGGCAATCACGGGCGAAGTGGTTAGGTCCGCCACACTTGTAGCAGGTAGCAGGGCGAGCGCCGCCAGCGAAGCCGCCCCTGAAGCCTCCGTAACCGCCACGGGGAGCACCAGCGCCGCGACCCATTCCTGGGTTGGGGCAGTTGCGGGCAAGGTGGCCAGCGATACCACAGCTGTAGCAGCGTCCGCTGGTACCAGCTCCGCTCAGTCGCAGAGTCGGGCAGTCAGCCTGAACGTGTCCGAGGCCTTGGCAGTGATAGCATTGCTTAGCTATTGCTTCGTCAGCATTCTAGTTCGTTGTAGCCTCAGTCTGCCAGGCTTTTGCGAATGCGCGAAGATGGTAAACCACGGTACAGCGTAGGACAAGTAGCGCAAGTGGTGGATTCTGAATGACGTACTCTCGGTGGTGCGGGGATGTGGGCATCCGTTGGACTCGTGTCCTGGCTGCTTGCCTATTGAAGAATTAGCGGATTGTCTTGTGTGCGCGTGGACATGGACTTGGACGTACAGTTGTAGCAGAGCCTCTCGGACGAAGAGCACACCTCTGCGTATTCACGTCAGTCGCACTGCTAAATGCACTTCTTGCCACCGTCTTCATGGTCTCGCGACACTAGCGCCACAATTGCAGGTGTCGCATCGACACATGTACCTCACAATTGTGTCACTGCGACGAGCGCCAGAAGTCAGTGACTCGAATGTTGCTTACCGGCATAGTGGCCGACGTTTCCGCACTTGAAGCAGGCACGACGAGACAGAGACGACATGTTTGGGTTGTTCTTGTTTGGTATATATCTGCACGAGGCGTGAGCATAGGGTGGATGGTTGTGCGAAGAGGAAGAAGGCAGCGGATCGTGGGACGCGGGGGCGAGCGGGTTTTGGGCAGGGCGTTTGTTCTAGGGCGAGTGGTGGCTCTGTCTGGGCGGGGAGCTGGGCAGGCGCAGAGGGCTGGACATGGGGCGCTTGTACCTGCTTCGTATTCTTCTTCAGATTCCGTCACCTGGGCTTGCCGTCAGTCGCAAATTTTCGAGGGGCGGCGGTCGAGGGGTAAAACGGGGCATGGTCGCATGCGCCGAGGGGCCCCAGGCGCGCACATGGGGGAAACAGCAGTCTTGGGCGGGCGCAACGTACTTTCGACTTTCCAGACCTTCCCTCGACAACACTTCAGCAACCTTCCTCCGATTGTAACTATGGGTGTGGTGTGAGAGACTGGGGATCATGGACTCGACTGCTCAGGCGACGGGCAAAATGCACCACTCATGGCTGTGGTCCCTGCTTCGGTTGCGCTAGCGAAATGCGCAATTTGGCTGTTCCCGAGGTCGAAACCTGCGCGCAACAATCCCCGAGCCGTTGCAGATTGCATCATACGCCCTCCCATAGGTGCACACATCCATGCACCCTTCACCCTAGCCGTGTTTCGTCGCCCATTGCCGTGCATCTGCCGCCCTGTCGCCCGTCGCGGGGGGGCCCTATCCTGGCCTCTCTTACCCCTCCGCCGCTGCCGCCCCTCTCCAATCTGGTCCTATGCTCCGTGCCATCGCTTAACGCCTGAATCCAAGCACGTGGTATAGGCACGTGATAACTACGTCTATTCACCATACGACAGATGAATACTATCTCTTTTGACATATGTCTACATTTTTACTGACAAGCTATTACACCAGAAAGCTAAGAGGTGAACCGTGCAAAGCTTGTTCCTTCACAGACTGACTCTTTAATCATCTGGATATCTGCATATACAATTCGCAAGCCATTCTTAAAGCCTATGATTATGCCTTACCTGGATTTCAATAGTAGTAGGTACTAGATACTTTCTCTTCTCCCATATATGATTTGTTGAGACACCCAAAGGTGGATCTAACTTTATCATTAATGTAACAACTCTGTGTAGTAAGGGTATAGGGGTAGTAAGTAGCTGGCAAAGCATCATTTGTTTCCTCCGCTGAAGTACCGAAAAAAGGGCAACTTTTGCATTAGCACAACACAATTCCAACCTAAGCCCCCCTCCCTTAACCACACTTCCAATATCTTCTTTTAGCCTCCTAAAGGATACAACTACTCGAGAGCCTGTGAAAAACCTCGGCTTTCGGACTCGTCGCATAAACATCACACGCATCAAAAAAACGCCACAATAAGCAGTGGATCACCGTTTGGTATACAGCAGCGATACTTTTCACATACGTTAGCCTGAGCCCTTAAAAAATCCTTCTTCAAACATCCCAACATTCTCCAAGCAAAAAAAAGGCAGAAAAACAAAATCAGGAGTGAGAGGGGGGGGCTCTTTCCGGTAGAGTTTCTCTATAGGACGTCTAGTACGGAATTATAGGATTCAGGGGGACCGGATCCTGGCACCTACTCAGACTCTACTTATCTAAACTGCGCCCAGACGCCACGCTCAGATCAGATCAACGGAAAAGCGTGTTCCTCCAATCTATACGTAGATACGACTACGTAAGTAGATAGTGGCCTCTGTTGAATCATTCACTCACAACGAACTTGCATGTGCACATCCTGGCACCCAGGACATTGGCCTTAATGTTCATGTTCATTCGTATCTATCTGATTTTGCAATCTCCGTGCTAGTAGAAATCCTATCCTTACAACCGTACGCAGTGTATGGCTGAATGCACGAGAAGGTACTGTGTCGGTCGTACAATACCATTTAGTCTTCCGACTCAATGACTGCGGGAGCCTTGATTGTCCTCGCCTTGAGGAAGTCGAGACCTTCGCCGCCCTGAACTGCAGTTAGTATACAACACGCGCAATGGGAGTCGTGGCACTAGGAAAACTTACGTAAGAAATCAGTGGGGAGACCTCGATGCCCTCCTTGGGGTCCTCGCTGACAACTATGGCACCGGCAGCTTGGACCCACTTCTTGCCCTGTGTCATGATGTCCTGCTTGCTCGTGTCGGGGTCGTCCTCTCCAGTGCCGCGGGCATTCTTCAGCGGCGAGAACTCGTCCTCACGCTTTACCTCCATACAAGCAAACTTGTCAAGGGTAAGGAAAGGGAAACAGTCGAAGACGAACTGCTCAAGCTTGATGCCGTTGGGCTTCTCTGGCTTGATTGTCTCTCCAGTCTCGGTGTTGACATAGGGAATCTTCTTGCGGGCAACGTGGTGGGGCAGCTTCTTGGCCCATGCTGGGATGCTCTCGAGGAAGCTGTACGAGTAGTAGTGGTTGACAATGTTGGCAGCACGGAACTTGAGAAGCTCGGAGTCCTTGGGGTCTTTTGCCTCTGCGTCCTCGGTCGAAATCTCAGAGTACTCGACAACGTCTGGTTTACCGTTCTTCTGGAGGATGAGGCCAACAGACTCCTTAGCGTTGCGCTTGCGGACGACCTTGGTGGCAATGTCGACGTTCTTGGACGCAGAAAAGCCAATGAAGGCGGGGTCAGCGACCTTGACCAGGCAGTTGTCGACGCAGTAGGCGTGAATGTGCTTGATTCCGCGCTTACCCATGTCGGCTACAACACCAGATTGGATAAGGGCTTGGTAGAGACCACCGTTACCATCGGGTGCGACGGCGACCTACACTGTGTCAGTACCATCTCAACACATTGTCGGCTCATAGCTGTGAGAACTGTCTAGCCATACCTTTGACTTGCTTTCCAAGAGAATCTTGCCCTCGTTTGAGATGCATGGCAAGACACCCTGCTCGAAGATGACGACATTCTCCTTTTTCAAGCCAAAGTAGTTGTGCTTCTCGAAGAACTCGGCGGTAGGCCCTCGGGTAGGTCCGCTAGTCATAACGTACCATGGGATGGTGACGTTTTCCTTGCCGTGCTTCTTTGCAGCAAGCATCTCAGCCTTCCTGATGCGCTCACCCTGCAACTGGAACAGGCTCTTCTGGCTTGGGAGTCCAATGTCGAAGCATCCCTTGGGAGCTGAGCTTCCCAGGCGGGTGCCTTGGCCACCGGCCATCAGCACAACTGCGACCTGGTTGTTGGCAATGAATTCCAAGCCGCTGTTGTACCATTGGTCGAGGTCGCCCTGCGATGAGTCGAGGACTGAAGATGTGGCATTTTCGGGGAGAGGCTCGAGCTTGTTCTCGGTTGCTTCGGTCTGTGCAGGGTGGAGGGCACGCTCGGTGATCTCGTTAATATATTCGGGGTTGAAGTTCTTTAGCTGCTCATAGAGAGAGGCCTTCTCGGCGGTAGACAGCTTGTCGTAGAAAGCCTACAGAGAAGAAGTTAGCAGTGTGTTCGGAGATTGCGATTGATCCGATGCTCATCAAGTCCATTGAGGTGCTCCAAAACATGGGGGTTAGGGAAGGCTGCACGCACAAAAACTTGATCTTGGCCAGCCTTCTGGTACTTTGCCTTGAGCTCATTGAACTCAGCCTCTGATGGCTCCTTTGCAGGAGTGCCTTGGGCAGCTCCACCGATGTGAAGCTTCTCAAGCGCGCTGTTCACGGTATCCTTGATGGCTTCCATGATGAAGTGGGGTTGTGGCGGGGTAGGTGTGATGAAGGGAACAACAATTGCAATTGACTGAAGGGGTGTACGCCTACAAGTACACAAAGAGTGGTTGAAAAAAGAACGCAGAGCTGCAGGTTTCACACCGTGTGTCCTACAAGACTGGCTACAGCACAGCTCTGACGCTTCGTGTTTGCCCCACTCGGCGTGCGTCCCTGCTGCACATGGGCAAGATCGAGGCTTGCGAGATCGTCAGCGCCTACCAGTCACTACTAATTATAGACATGACATGTATTGTTTATATGCAAGCAATGCTTTTGCTGCCAGTGCAGTGTTCAAAGCTACAGTGTGACGTAAGCTATGGAAATGCAGCCGCAGACCGCCACCAGTCACGCAGCAGCGAACAAAAAGAAGCAAACATCTGGTGCTCCAGCGCAATGCATCAAGCCAAGAAATCCACCCGAACCAACCTGTACACAACTCCATGAACACCATTATGCTATACGATCATTACGCACTCCCATTGGCCTCGGCCGGCTTCTCTGGCTCAGCAGGCTTCAGGGCCTTTTGTGGCGCAGGGTTGAGGATGCGGGTGGCGTCGATCAATCCGGCATGCGGGTTCAGCTCAAGGCCAAAGCCAGGACGGTCGAGGGTTTTGACGTCGAGATAGCCTTTTGTGGGAATGGGCTCGTTGGTGAAGCTACCGCTGGTCAGAAAACATTTTCATGGGCATGAATGTTGACACTTACAGGTTACCGAATACGGGCAAAACGGATTTACCGTCTGGCGAGTTTGCCAAGTACTCTTGGAAAGGCGAGTTCGCTTGGGAGACGACAAAGTGGTAGGAGTACGGCCCGCTGGCGTGGGGCACAACAGGGATGTCGTACGCAGCAGCCATGGCCGAGATCTTGATAAGCTCCGTCATGCCGCCAACCCACATAACGTCTGGCTGGAGGATATCTAGGTTGCGTCCCTCGATGAGCTTCCTGAAGCCGTAGCGTGAGTACTCGTGTTCGCCAGTAGTAAACTTCATCCGGGGATGAGCACGCTTGATTTGCTCAAAGCCATCAGAGTCGTCTGGCGACAAGCACTCCTCCCACCAGTTGAGGTTGAGGTGCTCGGTTGCCTTGACCACCTCGATTGTGTACGGCACGTTCAGACTCATGTAGCAGTCGACCATGAGGGGAAAGTCGGGGCCAACACTCTCACGGTGCTTGGTGAGGAATTCGACGTTCTTCTTCAGGCCTTCGACACCCTCACCAGGACCATAGGGCAGCGGTACCTTTGCGCCAAAGAAGCCCATCTCCTTTGCTGCTGCTGGCTCGGGACCAGTACAGTAAAAGTTGAGTCTCTCACGTGTGGCACCACCCAGCATCTTGTACACGGGCTCGTTGCGGATGTGGCCAAGCAGATCCCAGATGGCGAGATCGATGACTGAGATGACGGCGACGGGGAGACCCTTGCGGCCATAGAACATTGAAGCGCGGTACATTTGCTCAAACATGTGGTTGGTGTCTCTGGGATCTGCACATTGTCAACACTGCCTATACTAGGGGATTTTGTTGGATACTCACCCTGGCCGATCAAGAAGCGCTCAAAGTGTTCGGCAACCAGCCAACACGCTGGCGGTCCTCCAAAGCCCGTGGCAAAGCCCTTGGTGCCATCACTGGCCTCAATCTCAACGCAGAAGGAACCAAGCACATTGATTCCCCAGCTTGTTCTCGACTTCCGGTATTGCTCATATTGGCTCATTGGCGTTGAGATTTTGCTGTCAATGAGCCAATGGCCACCAGCGACATTGTGATAGTCTCCACCACTTCCGGGGCCCTGTGTTACAAAAGTGCGCACATGCTTGATGGTAGGGAACGAGCGGGCCGCGCCAGAAGTTGCTGTAGAAGCCATTGTGATTCTAGTCGGGGACGAAAGGGAAAAATGGACGAGTATGAGGGGGAGATGGCACAGAGGAGGGGCAGTGTTTAGCAAGTCATACGTGGGGGATATTTGAATTCAATGGCTCTGGATCATGTGCAGGGCCGTGGTGGGCGACGTGCACAGCAAGAGGATACCTCGGTCCATCTCGCTGCGACGTGCAACGAAGGACAGCGACAGGCGCTGTTGCAACGGGCGTCAAGTGGAGGGCAACGCGCAAGGCTGCATGAGTGGGAGAGCTTGGGCAGGGCCATGGGCTGGTGGTGCAGATCAGCATTGCCCCGAGTGCGCCGAGGCCACCAATGGGCGCCGTGTCGCTGCCGGTGCCAATGTCTGGGGTAAGGGCTGGAGGTCGCGGGCGGGGCTGAAGTTCGGTGTTCGCTCTGCCGAACCTTTGCGCACAGCTGCACACCCACAGTCGCATCATTGACCATGGATGCCACTGCCTCGCACCAGCAAGCTGCGAGCCCGAATGGCACGGCCAAGTTCTCCTCGCACTCTCAGGAACACGGCCACGACTGGAGCGGCGATGAGCGCTCCACCGATGACGATGATGCCAACGACCGGGGCCAAGCCAGCGCATCCAACAAGCGCAAGCGGCCTCTCTCCGTGAGCTGCGAAACATGCAGTAAGTCGCCCATGGCAGAGGCATATATATATATACCGAGATTTATACATGCACACGTCCTCTAATCTTCTGACGCCGTGTAGAGCAGCGCAAAGTGAAATGCGACAGGGCCTCGCCAGCCTGTTCGTGGTGTCTGAAGAACCACTCGGCATGTGTGAGCCTGCCCGCCTCCTGTATGCTCACTGCAAACTCAACCACGCCTAGGTCTATCTCCCACGCAAGAAACCAGGCCTCCGAGCTGGCTACGGACGCGAACTCGAGTCGCGACTTGGTAAGTTGCACCCTCGACTACACATTACACACATAAATATGTAGCCGAGGTATCCCCATGGGCCGACTCCAGCTTCAAGAATTACTCACACCCTTGTATCCGTCCCGCTAAGCAGCCGCAAGCTAACATGTACGGCCTGTAGATAAGCTCGAAGCTCTCCTCTTGCAGCAGCAATCGCAAATCAACCACCTCACCAACAACCAGGTCGCGACTTCTGGTCCCTCGCCTCAGCACGTCACTGCCTTCCGAAGCCCGCCCATTGTCCAGACTCCTCATATCCCTAGGCCTGAGACCGCCCTCTTCATCCAGAAGCCCACGTTTCCCTCGCAGAGTGCCATCCATACCACGTACGGCAATGGCGTCACCGACAACCGTCCCGCCTCCTCGGTCGCCAGCCACAGCTACACGCCCGAAGACATGACGGCCATGGGCAGTGCCCTCACGCGCGAGCCCTACACACCCTACAACGAGCAGTTTCAGCCCGCAATGGCACGGAACTTGGGCCACGCCGACGCAGACTTTCCCCCATACGATCTGCTCTACGGGCTCGTCGACCTCTTCTTTAAGCACATCAACACCTGGTGTCCGATTCTCCACCGCCAGAGCACTCTCAACTCGCTCTTTGGAGACACGCCCCTCGATGACGCCGACAAAATCATACTGCACTCGGTTGTTGCAACAACTGTAAAGTTCTCCACTGACCAACGCCTTACACCCGAGAAGCGCACGCGATACCACAAGAATTCCAAGGAAAAGGTTTTGCTCTACGGCATAGAAAACAGCTCGGTCAAGTCGCTGCAGGCCCTTGTCATCCTTGCACTTGACGTTGTTGGCTGCTCCAATGGCCCGCCAGGGTGGAACTTGCTTGCACTCATAACTCGCTCCGTGGTCCAGTTGGGCTTGTCGGTTGAGAGCTATTCACCAAGCGTCGCTCCTCAGTTTGCTTCTATATACACCCTGCGAGCCATGACACTACCAGAGCCAAAGGATTGGATAGAGGAGGAGAGTCGGCGCAGGCTCTTTTGGATGATCTACGTCCTTGATCGGTACGCGACGGTCGCGACTGCCTTTGAATTTGCTCTAGATGACAAGGAAATCGATCGCCGTCTGCCGTGTCGCGACGACCTATATGCACGTAATGCGCCCGTAGAGACGAGATGGTTTCATACCTCAGCAAGATCAGACTACAGTATGAACAGACCCGAAAATCTCGGCTCATTCTCATATTTGATTGAGATTCTGGGCATTCTCACAAGGATACACAAGTTTTTGAAGAAGCCCGTGGATATTACGTCTCTGTCTGATGTTGAGTCGTGGCAGAGCGAATATCGAGAACTCGACAACGCCATCGAACAGTGGAAGTACAATCTTCCACAGGAATATGGCAACTCGGCCAGACTATTCGCAAAACCGGGCATGGGACAGAACCTCGACAGTGGCTTGGTCATGCTCCACGCAGCTTTCCATACGTAAGTCGTTACTCTTCACTCTACCAGCAGATGTACTGACTCCTCTAGTACCGTCATTCGCTTGCATTCATCTGCAGCATACCCCACTCATAGATCACCCATCTTTACACCGTCGTTTAGTGCCAGTCAAAGGTGTCTCAGCGCCGTTGAAAATATTACTGCTCTATGCGCTACTGTGCGTGACAACGCGCTGTTGAGCAAACTCGGCCCTCCATTTGCGTTCTCACTCTGGGTGGCTGCTCGAGTTCTCCTGGTTCATGGATCGACTATTGATCATCGAGTTGATCAATCGATTAACCTCCTCGTGAGCACCCTTCGCGACATGGGCCAGTATTGGGAGGTCGGCACACGCTATGCAAGCCTGCTGTCACGTGTTCTATCAGAGTATCAAGAAAGCCAACAAGCCCCCGCTGGTGCCAATGGCGAACGCGTCACGCCTTCGACAGTGAAAATCCTGGCGGACATGCGACGTTGCGCATTTGACTTGGATTTCCTCATTTCGCGACAGCCAAAGCTTAATAGCAACCAGAACACGAAGATGGCAGCTGTTACTCCGGCTCGAACACCTGCACCCAACGAACTCGAGTATTTGGATGTATTCGATTTCTTCAACATGCCCAGACTCCCCGTATCAATGGATGGAGTCATGAGCTACCCTGCGCCCGATGGTAACGTACAGATGCCTGACGGCACTTTTGGCAATGAGTCCAATATCACGAACTACATGGTTGATGCTAGCTCCGACTGGTTTATGAAGCAGACAGCGTAATGAGTTTCGGAATCGGTTCCTGGCGCTTGGGTTGACGGTTTGTATTATAAGGGCTCCTTTGGTCGTGGATTATGGTTACAGGGCTGGTGTGATTAAAAGCTGATCGGTATATCAAAAGCCGTACTTGATTCGGTATTCCCTGATGACATTGGATTTCTATTAAGTACATGAATTCTATGATTGGCAGTCGTGTATCGCGTTGTGAAGTACGTCCGTGGAGACATGCCGGGAGCACCATACCGATTTCGGACCTCGTATCACTACTATCTGCCCATGTCATGGCACCAACGCCGATTCTTCTTCCACACACACCGCCAGCAGGAGTTTACGTCTGCCCAAAGACCTGTTTGTTTACATATCGTGATAGATTTGGTACGTAAATATTCTCTGTAATGTATTGAAATCATCGGCCATCTCCAAATCGGCGGATACCCTGTTTTGCCGTCGGAATAGGCTGCCCTGCTTCGGAATACGTAGTGTGACACCATATCATTCCGACGCGCTTCCATTACACAGCAGCACAACGTCAAGCCTATAGATATAACTAGTTCGCAAATCCTTCATAACCAGGCCTTTTGAATTGATTCTATAAGAATCTAACCATCGCCCTTAAAATCCCTACTTACACCCAAATCTAGATCCACCACCCCCCTCGCTTTCCAACATTTATTAGTAACATTTACTACCTCTCAATCCAACTTCACCCAAAAAAAGGAAATCAATCACGACACCCTAAAAGAAGAAGAAGAAGAAGAAGAGGAAGAAGAAGAGGAAAATGGCAAACCCCCAAGAACCCCCCCACATCCTCATCCTAGGCGCCGGCGTAATCGGCCTAACAACCTCCCTCGTCCTCTCGCACACCTACCCGACCACAAAAGTAACAATAGCCGCAACCCACTTCCCCGGCGACCGCTCCATACACTACACCTCCCCCTGGGCCGGCGCAAACTGGTCCTCCATGGCCACCGACAACGGCCCCCTTGAAAACTACGACGCCGTAACTTTCCGCCGCTTCGGCGAGCTCATCGACGGTCAGTCCGTATTTGGGTGCCGAGCCGTTCGCGCTGGCGAAATTGAAAATTCGAGCGGTGGTGGGATGGGGGGGAATGAAGTGGGGTTGGGGCGGATGGGCATGTGGGCTGTGTTTGATACGCCGATTGAGGAGGCAGGGATTCTGAGTGAGGGGACGGGGAGGGTATGGTATGATGAGCTAGTTGGGGGGTTGAGGGAGTTGGATAAGGAGAGGTTGCCGAGGGATGCGGTGTTTGGGGTTGAGATTCCGGCGACTTTTCGGATTAATACGCAGGTTTATTTGCAGTGGTTCGTTCTTCTTCCCCTACTCCCCGTTTTTTTCACTTTCTTTCTTTCTTTTTTCTGCTAGAAGAGTGGATGTGTGCTGATGATGGACAAGGTTACAACATCAGGCCCTAACTAAAGGGATCACTTTGCTTCGCCGCCATTATACCTCTGTGGCTTCGTTGCTGGAAGACGTACCATCTGCCACCCTCCTCGTCAACGCCACAGGTCTTGGTTCCTTGTCTCTAACAGACATCCGCGATACGAATCTGTACCCGACCCGTGGCCAGACGCTGCTGGTTGCGGAACCCAAAGTCCCGATTGAGAGAATGTATGAATATGAGAGGCTGGGGTATTGTGATGCCTTTTCTCATCCCCCCCTTCCCCCAGATACGCAGTCCATGTGACATGTGACATTCAAGAGTAAAAGATTTTTTTTCTAACCCAAGATAACAAGGTATCTTCGCTCCCCCCACCGCATCGACCCAACATGCACATACGTCTTCCCACGCCCGCTGGGCGGTGGCGTTATTCTAGGCGGCTCTCGCCAAGACAATGATTGGAGCGCTGAGTGGGATGAGGAGCTTGGTCAAGATATTTTGAGGCGGTGCTGTGAGCTGTGTCCTGAGTTGGGGAAGCCGGAGGAGGTGCAGGTTTTGGCGAAGAATGTGGGGTTGAGACGTCAGTTCTTCTTTTTTTTTTTCCTTGTTTGCCCTCTCTTATTTCTTTTGGATTGAAGTGTGTTAAGGGATGAGAGGCTAACATGATGATAAATAGCGTCGAGAAAAGGAGGCATGAGGATTGAGACCGAGGTGGGCAAGTGGAAAGTGCCTGTTGTGCATTGTTATGGGCATGCTGGGGCGGGATATCAGGCTTCTTGGTAAGTGGATTTTCATGGATTGATATGCATGGTGTGTTGCTAAGTAAGGATACAGGGGATCTGCTGAGCGCGTGCTGGAGCTTGTGCAAAAGATACTTGCACCAGGTGCAAAGCTTTGAAGTTTTGAAGTGAAATTGCCTAGTCACAAATTAAACTTGGATTATCATCTCGTGGTCTTATGGATGTGCATGGTAAATGTGACTTGACATGAAGGTAGACTTGTAAACAACAATTCTGGTGTAGTAAGTACCTGTACGAAAATGAACAGCCTGGGTGCCGACTTACTCGAATTATCCATTGATCATGTGTGCTGAATATCCCATTACATTCTTTAGAGGAAAGCAAGCATAACTCTAGAGCTGGACCGAGGTTTCTTGCGACGCTGAAGAGCATCGCTCAACCCTCCCACCTCTGCGCCTCCTTGTTATACCCTATGAGCTGTAGATCAATATTAAGCGTCTTGAGCATCATATCCATAGTAAACGACTACCTTCAGTTAGCAATCTCTCCATCCGCGTCCCCGGCATCACTTACATCATCCGCATTCTTGAACGTCTCCTTCTCCTCTTCCACCTCCCTATCCCCCTCCATCTCAGCAAACCGATCATACTCCTCTTGCGGGACCTCCCCATTTTCTCTCGCCTCCCTCATCCTCTCCCTCTCCGCTTCCATCTCTTCCTGATCCCACTTCATCTGCCGTTGCCTAGCCTCCTTCTCGCGTTCCTGCCAGGCGCCCACCCCACCCATCCTGTTGACTCGATCTCTGGTGATACCAAAAAGCTCTTCGGCTGCTGCACGGCTTGCGGTCCGCCATTTTTCTATTAGTGCAATCAGATCGTCGTCTTTTGAGGACGTAGCAAGAGTTTGTGCTTGGGTGAGCATTTGGATCTCGTTGCGTAGTTGCATTATTTCGCGTGCAGCTGAGGGCTTAGAGAGTGTGCTTCTTGACGCTAGTCGCGAAGGCGTGGACGAGTTTGGTCGCGACACGAGCGTCTTTGGGACTCTCGATGCAGGTCTTTGTGCTGATGCAGCATTCCCAGAGGGTGACGTAGTGGCCTTCTGTTCGGCATTGCTCGTAGGATGTGCAGAACTCACACAGATGGAGGTATCTCCTAGTTTTTCCTCTGTGGATGATTCTGCTTCAGGTGGGTCTGAAGATGGCGGATCGTCGCCAATGCTGGGCTTCAATGGTGTTCGGAAAGGAGACTTGAATGGCCTCTGCAGTGTTTTCGCGGCTTCGTTCAGCCGACGGCGTTTCGCTTGCGGAGTCGACATGCCTGCAACTTTGTACACATTTGAATCACCTGTTAAACCCGCTATCGCTGAATGAGTGTTGGTGGGGATAGTGTTAGAAATGCGGCGATGTAATCGGTCGCTTTCCGTGTCACTTTCCTTGGCAGACGCGGTTTCACGCTGTCACGTGGGGCGCACAATAAGGAAAGAGCCAGTTGGATGTATCTTGCATGCATGCTTGTTGGAATGAGTACATAACGCATCTCTCCAAAAAGACTGATTAAGATAAAGATTTGTTCGGTCACCGTATCAAAGAAACAATCATATCAAAGTAGATTTGAGAATTTGAAATAGAGGTTGTTCTTGGTAAATTGAAAACAGACTAAGTTCACTCATAGCTTTACCGTTATATTGTAATGGTCAAGACCAACAGCGAATCCAGCAAGGACAGCGACGTATGCCGTGAGGACCGCCATTGATTCAATGACGCTCATGTTCAAAGTGGGTAGCGTCATGTTGACCAGACCTGTCAGCAAATTGGCGACTAAGAAAACCGCAAGACCATTGCGGTTGAACGCATACAGTATAGTACTAGTGGCGTCTCTAGTGCGTCGTATTTCCTCGCTTTTGTTTGTGGCCTTGTACAAGCTGGGAAAGAGAACAGTCTCAATTGCGCAGCATATGGTGATTTGATAACTGTTGAACGAAGACACCCAGAGAAAGTACGGAAGATTAGCAAGCCGTCTTGATACTGGTAAGCGAAGGCCATAGTAGCTTGTAGAGAAGTAGAAAAGTGCGGTCCAAAGGAGAGATGTAGTTGCAAGCTTCCCAAGCGTGGATTGCCGGAGTTTTGTTGTCATTGGTGCGTCTTTGGCGATTGGCTGCTGTCTAGGGAGTGCAGACGCACCCAGGGACTGGCCGGCTAGGAAAATCGCAAGATATCCAAAGAAGGAGAATATCCCTTCTCGGTTCTTGGAGAGCAAATCTGTACGTGGGGCCACAAGTATGTAGGGTCCAAGAGGCGTGCAATCTAAGACAACTTCGTAGACGGCAGCCAGTACGAACGACAGCACAGCATATGAAGGGACCAGGTCAAATGCCGACTGGAAAAGAGCCGCAAATGGTGGTAGGAAGCCCAGGGTAAAGAAGAAGTTCCAATGCACGCCATATTCAGAGACATGTTCTGCGTAGTCCAGTCCCTTTACGGAGATGAGTCGAATGACACCAAGGACAAGAAGGGGAACGGAATGTCTGAGTGATGCCATCAAGCGTTTGGATAGTGGCGGTCGGCCAGTGCCTTCCTTGAGTGAAGAGCGGACTGAAACCACGCCAGCAGTGAAGACAAAGGACCCGACACCCATGTCCATGAGTGAGGTACCCCAGTTCTCGACTTTAGCGAACCGCCGTGGAAAGACACGAAAGTCGACGGCCAGGATTGCGACGCACGTGATGACCATCATTGCGCCGCGGTAATTTGTGATGAACGGCTTAACAGGTAGTGCATCCAGTTTGGAGTCTTTTTCAGACTTGTCGATCTTGGGCGGACGCGGGACTTCCTTGGCTGGAGCGGGCTTCTCAAGGACATATAATGCAATTGCTGGGAGTAGCAGGAGGAGATTGAGAATCAATGGAGAGGGCGAGTAGATGGTGGTTGCGAACAGCGTAGCTCCGCAGTTGAGTAGAAAGTCGATGAACATGGCTGGTGGCGTATAAGGCGTGAACAAGCGCATACGCGACTGTATGACCGACCATAGCAAGATGCTCAGCTTAGCATTGTTAGTATAGACTTATTGCTTGAGGAATGGAATCGTGCACAGTACAGGCATTGCGAGCGAGACGATATTTACATCTGCTACAGAGCTCCCCGTATGTCCCGACACCCACGCCTCCTTCATCTGCTTGTACGTTTTCGCCATTATGCCTTAATGAGCGTTGGCCGAGTTGGTCGTTGGACATGCAATTACTGGTGAAGGTGACGCGTTAGCTGTCCTCTTCTCCAACCGAAGCCGTGGCCCAAGCGTCAATGACCTCACACATCGTGATTCCCACAGCCATCTTCTGCAACTTCAACACCACACCGTAAAGATGCCGGTAGCACGAAAGGGCGAGTCTCGGAAGACTTCTCTCAAAGTGACCGTGGATTTTTTTCTCATCCGGGTTACGAGAAAGAGCAGAGTCATGTCGCGTTTGCAATTCACTTGGACTGGGCCATCCACACTCACCTTCACTGCCTTTGCAAACGCAAGCAAGCCCGTGCGCAAACCTCGCCCTTTACTATATACATAGCAGATCTCAGATAGATTCTCTTCTTCCAATCAACCTCCTGCCATTTCGAACCTCTGTCCGTGACGAACTGCTGACTCGCAAGAGTCGGCAACAGACGCTGACGGTGATGACAGATCCCCGTCCAGTCTCCGCTAATATAGCTGTACTTCTGCATGAAGATGGATCGAGGCCGCTAACTCACTCGGATGCGATGCCCATGGGTAACTCTCGGCTTCCTCGCCCTATGTCAACTTACAAGCCTCTACCCAGTCCTCCGATCGCGCAGGTGTCAAACCCCAATAGTCCGCCAAAAGCCCAGCGTACGCTCATAGACGCTCAGTCTGAGAGCTCTATACACGGCAGGTGGCCGGTACTTCACCCCGAGAATGTTTCTTCACCCTCAAACTCGTTGGCTCAAGATTCTTATGATGGCGCCGGCGATGACCGCAGCATCCGATTGAAGCCACTCTCATGGCATGCATCAGATGCAGATGCAAATGCGCATACCGGTACAGGCCCAATCCTCAAAATATCTGCTGACGCCGATGAATTCATTCTCGGCACTGGTGACGATATCCCAGAAGTACCACCTATCCCGGCGGTATTCACTGAGCGTCTCCAGCAGACACGCTCTTTCAGCAATCTCAGGGCCCGCCTCGCGGAGGTTACAGAGTACAAGTCGTCACTGAGCAATGCGCCACCAGCTCCAACAGTGCACCCTGTGAGAACATTGAGAAGTTTGACCCCTGTCGTCAAAATCAGCCCAATTCGCTCCATGCAGCCTGCAAGAAAAGTCAGCCCAGTCAGCCATTCACCAATGTCTTCGTCGCCCCTCGCCAGGCCCTCTACGAGCTCGAATTCCGAAGACAAAGTAGTTGTGATAACCGCTGACAACACAACTCGTACTACAAGCCACTCAGATCATCACATGAAGCTTACAGGATCCGCTTCAAAGCCCACGATCATTGTGTCCGAGCCCACAGCACCTCCAGAGATCTTTGAATCTACTGAATTTCGTCAGGTACGTCAATCCAGGCTTTTTTTCGAGGGTAATAATTCTTACATTAGGAGTTTCCTGCATCTCTTTCAGGATACACTCAATTGCCAGACGACGAGCCAGTCTTGGAGGTGAAGAAGACCGGGATCAGGAAGACAATCACAAGCATCATGAATTCGAAGTCCTCACCAAACCTGAAGGACAACTCCGGCAATGAGACCAAGAGCTGGAGAATGAACCCTTTCAACAAGAGCTCGCTGTCATTGTACAAGACGGCGCAGTCCCACGATACCGTCCGCAACCCCGATTCTGATAGGTTGAGGACGGCGGAGACTGTGACGTCTGAAACTGAAGAGGGCTCTTCCAGTCACGAAACATCACAGCAGCGCCAATCATACCAATCCGACGATCACTTGATGGACTCGTCGGTGACTCCCTCCGCTCCAGAAGATACATTGTCGGACAAGCAAGATCGCGGTATGACAGAGAAGAAGATCAAAGCCAAGCGCAGCATTCGCGACATCTTCACTCGAGGCAGGTCGCGCACCGGACCAGAAGAACCGATGCCTACTACCAAGCAAGGTTTCCTGAGTGCCACGAGCAGCTCACTCACCAAGGCCATGCGTGATGCAAAGAGTTACTCCATGGTCAACCTCGCCGTGCCGACCGAGTCCAGGCCTCAGACTGCACCTGCTCCCAGTCAGAAGAAGGACAAAGGCAAAAATCCCCCCATTCCTCTTAGTGCCGGTCTCAAGTTGAACAGTACTTACGCCAGTCCAGACAGGAAGCTCGTACCCGACGAACGCGAGAGCACACGCACCTTGATTGAAGACATGCTCGAACGCTTAGATATGCAGCCTCGCGACTCGAGTGAGCATCTGCGTATTGTTCAGATGGCAGAGGTACCTACAATCAAAACAACAACCAATAACCCAAATCCCCCTCTCTCTCCTCCATTCGAAGAGCCCCCAGCTAACCACCGAGACAACAGTGTGTCATGAGCGCTGCCTTGAGCGCCAAGAACTGCGAGGATTGCGCAGAAGAAGCCAAGCAAAACGCCCGCAGTGCGGAGATATGTTTGGGAATGGCTACCATGGAGCTCGAGCGCTTGTATAATATTGTAGATTTTTCCGATCTCGACACCGAGGTTGCGAGCGGCATCAAGCGGCTCGGTCGTCTGTTCAGAACCGGTGGCAAGCCGGACTGGCTTTGATGGTATGCTTGATACTCACTCACTACTTGTTCATTGATGGCGAATGGCTAATGCGATACAGTACTTTTCACGAACCACATGGGCTGCCGGCGGACACCACCGTACACTGTCTCCAATAGACGTTACGACACTCTCACGACTCGTTAACATGCTTTTTTTCCTTTTTACGATACCCTTTGACGGCGACACCCCGGTGCTCGAGATATACCGACGCACAATGAGCTGCAGTCGCTTTTCTTATGACTTTCTTGGGCACCAACATCTCCACTCCACGATGGATTGCACGATACTTGACGATTTTTTGACAAGTCAATGATTTTGACGATTGTATAACGGGTTGATGCATGCGATTGTTTTGCGTAGCTACCGGACTCGCACACATAGAGCCATGGTTACTCATCAGCGATTCACGAATGATGACGGCGACAAAAGGTGGATACTCGCTCGGCGCATGCGTTCAGAAACGTATGGCACGGTGGAGGATAGATCGATCAGTTGAATTCATGAACCTTTTATTGTACAGATTTTGAGCATTGTAATCGTGACTGAGATTGCATACAACACCCGACCAAAGGTGGAGTGTGTTCATCGTCCTCATGCATCCGGAACCCACAGATATCTTCCATATGCTCTTCAGCTCTCGATAGTGAGTCACCTGGAATATCGTACCCAGTAGCCCTATCCTAGCTACCAGAGCCAATCTCTTTCCTTTCCCCCCACAATCGTATCGTCTCCTCCACATTTACATACCCCCAAACATCCCACCACCCTGCTTCCCCTGCGCCTCTCCCTGCATCTTCTCGCTAACCTTGACATTGACCTCGAAAAACTTGGACACGCAGCGATCCAAGCACACCGACTCGCCCTTGTTGAGATCCGCCTCGCGGTACGACGTGTCTATGCATTTAGCCGTGCAGGATTTGACAAGACTATTGGAAGCGTTAGCGTCTGCGTTGGTGTCGGGGAATTGGGGAGAACGTACCGACTGTACATGTCAGAAACCATATCGATTTCCGCCTCTGCCTGCGCAATCTTTTGCTCCGAGGAGACTTGGGGTTTTGCGCCGAAGAACATGGACATTTTGGGCGGTGTTTGGGTTGCTTTCTTCTGGATTGGGGTGTGAAGGGGTGCGCAATTGGCGAGTTTTGGGGTGTCGCTGGTGTGTGAATGCGGCGTGGGGATGTGGGTGGTTGGATTTGGTTGTTTCGAGTCGGATTTGGGTGGTTGCGGGCGATGATGTCGTTTGAAGCAAGAATTCTGCGGGGGGATCGGATTGTGGTCTGTGCGTATGGCTGGTGTGCGTGGGTTGTGGGATTGTGGGTGATTTTACTGTGCTTGTATCACTTTGTACTACCTTGTACTTAAACATCATCTATTCATTTTACTTGAAGTTTTATTTGGATTGATTTTCAAGCTAGACTTGTATGATTTGTTCACGAATGTAACTCACGTTCCGTGGGTCCCGTGTACACTTTGGAGTTGAGCCGCAACGAGATGGGTGGAGTACTGCATCTTCTTTGCGCAGGAAGAAAGTACGCCATCCTTTTGAACAGTTTACTTTGTACAAGGGCTTTTACACTATACTCGCTGACGGGATGCAGACAGTGACATGCTCTGATTAATTTAGGCATGTTTGATGATCTTGACAAGCATGGACATGATCAAGAAACCAAGTCTCTAAGGTCTTGGAGGCCACCTACTACGCATTACTCGCGAGTTGCGAAACTGAATCCATCAAATAATTTGATTATTCAATCTACCATTTCCTTGCCCTGGATTTGTGCCAACTATAAAGACTATGCGAAAAGGAGTAACTGTTTGGTACCTTGGGGAGAAATCAATTACTGCACTCCCGGTCCGAGCAAAAACCGTGATGTGTGGAGTAATCATTGTGTATTGACTTCGCGAAGCCTTTGGTCAGCGTTTGGTGCATAGTAGATCCTTTTGATGATCATCCGATCATCCGTCCAAGGCGATTTGGTATTCCAAATTCACCAGAGTGGTTGATCAACCGGCAGCAGCGGCTTCACTTTCATGGCAAGGGTATTGACCCTAGAGAGCCTTTGAGAGAATGGCTCTTGGGCTAGCATCAAAAGATCACCCCGCGCAGCATATGTGGAGAAAGCAATAGTAAAGAAACTCGAAAGTACGGTCTACCGAAGCCAACGTGTAGGATGATGATAGGGGAAGTGACAAAGGGGGGAACGATAGAGAGGGTAAAGGACAAAAGGGGAAAAGAAAAGGAGGATCAAGTAGGGCTGCAGCCAGGGGAGATACAGATTTTTCTTCTCCTCTTTAGTCACCTTGTTGAGGCCCTTCGTGCGGGAGGCTGATATTACTCAGACGGAGAATTCCTCCACAAGATTTCTCCCCGCGACTGACGCGGTCAAGGAGAACTCACCGTCTCACGTCATGGCCCAGAACCGATACACTGGCCCCAATTGACGTGTCACCAAAGCGCAATGGAGCGGCTCACTTTCCATTGTTCGTAACTGGATTTATGTGTATACGAAGACGAGATTGCAATCAACATGCACATGTACTAACACGCGCGACATTGCGGCGACAATATTTCTGACAGATACATATCACCAAGGTTTGACAAACCCTAGTCCCATCGTATTGATCCTCACCTTGGGGTTCAACAAAGGTACAAACTCGGACGTTCGGAATTCAACCACTACCGCCGTCATAGGCTTGCCTTGGCAACAACCGTTGCTTGCGACGGTGCAAGCAACGTGCCTGCGCAAGTCTGAATCTAATCAAATTTCTATTTTGGGGACGAGCCGTTGGAATTACGTATATGATAAAGCCCGTTTTCCCGCATGTCGTATCGGACACCGGCGGATAGATTTCCGCAACTTCAACGATCCACCAACTTTGCGGAGTCGCGTGCACTTGCTACTAGCGCTTCTACACTAAATTTCCAGCATTATCCCGACAGAGTCAGCAAATCAAGCCATGCTGTTGCATAGGTTTTTATGGCGGTAGTCAGCGGAATTATTCCTTCGCTCTAGTTCAGGTGTGGTTGGGACAGAGCGGGTGACGTTTGGATTTTGCCGTGCTGATACGAGCGTGGAACTATCGATTACGCGGCACCGTTACCAGAACGAGCCAAGAGTGAAGGTTCGCGATGACATGGTTACATTGATTATCGATTTCTCTTTTTTGCTTGCTGCATAAGCACGACATGGACAGGCGATACTCGGCGTCATCGGAAGCGCTGCGCATGCTTTGCCCAATAACTTTATTTTAGCGGATGGCAAGAGCAGGGGTTCTCAAGAGGATGATGTGATCGTACGACAAAAATTGATGACTTTCGTAATATTGGCAACGATACTGGAGCAGATTAGCACGTGATCCCTAGCAATTCACAACGACATGGCGAGAGACGCGTTAAAGGAGTGACTAAAGTTAGTTATTGATTTTGATAGAGCTATCTAGAGACAAAGTAAATCCAAAAAAACACGCAAAGAAACAAAAACATCTCCAATCGTAAACAACCGTTCTATACCGTGATCTGAGAATATGTACAGTGAATGGTATTAGATTAAGGAACCGCGAGTACAAAGGAAACAAACAAATCACTAGGCGCTAATACTAGGCAACATCGAAGAAGTAACTACTCTGCAGTGCAAGAGCTACAAGGTCCGCCCAATTGCCGTTGATAACACCTGTGTCGCCCTAGAATTGTTGCATGGCTTGAGAAGAGAAATCTTTTCCATCTTTCACACTATGTTAAGCTCCATAGCTTAGTTGTCTTCGGTGGGGTAACCGCTGTAGCCGGTGTAGGGAGAGGGAGTGGCAGCAGGGTAGTCGTCGTAGTCATCTCCAGAGGCAGGAGAGGGCGAGGCAGCTGGATAGCCGGTTCCGGGGTAAGGAGAAGGCGAGGCAGCTGGGTAGCCG